TGAAGGATTAAAAACTGAATATCTAACTGTGAAATAATTTAAAGGAGAGAGTTGACCACCTGAAGTTGGTCGTTATGACTAGCTTCACTTAAGGCTACAAGATTTTAAATCAATCAGTGAGTATAATTCTGCAATGTATAAAATTACCTCTCAATTGTAATTGTGTGGAGAAAATGTCACTGATGACGATATGTTAGAAAAAAAAATTCTCCACCTTTCATGCCTCGAATATGCTCCTACAATAGCAATATCAAGAGAGAGGATTTAAGAAATACTCTGAATTGATTTCATGCATCCTTTTGGCTGAACAAAATAATAAATTATTATTGAAAAATCATGAATCCTGACCTACTAGTTCTAGCCCATTCCCTGAAGCGAATGCAACTAAATCTCAAAATCATGGTCGTGGACGTGGACATGGCCATGGATGAGGGCGAGGACGTAGCCGTTATCGTGGATGAGGTCGAGGCAAATATGTCCCTTATAATCACATTGATCATAGCCATGGCAGAAGACAAAATAACTCCCAGAAATGGGACAATAATGATAAGAAAAATGAAGAAAAAAAAACATTATGAGAAAATATGCTACTAGTGTGGAATAGAAGGGCATTGGTCCCGTACCTATCGTACGGCAAAACATCTTATTGACCTCTATCAGGCATCATTAAAAGGGAAAGACAAAAATAACGAAACAAATTTTATTGATCAAAACAATGTTTATGATGATCTTGATGATATCACACACCTCGATGTAGCTGATTTCCTTGAGCAACCTGAAGTTGTGAAATGATCCCATGATAAATACCTGACATTTTGAATTTTGTTATTTTTGCATCTTTTATGTAATTTTCTTCATGAATTTTGTAATTTATGGACTTTATTGATATTTATTTTTGTTTGTAATTTTCTTTGTCATTTCTTCCTGAAGGGATGCCAAATATTTGGTATCAAATAATGGTGATGATAAGACTTGTCTTATTGATAGTGCTACTACACACACTATACTTAAACATGAAGTATTTTTTTATTTGAAAATGGAAGAAACAAATGTTAACACAATAAGTGGTAGTGCTAAATTGATTGATGGTTCCGGAAGAGCCACTGTATTTCTCCCCAAAGGAACTAAAATTGTCATAAATAATGCACTACTCTCGATAAAGTCTCGAAGAAATTTGCTAAAGATATCCGCCAAAATGGATATCATATCGAGACGATGAATGAGACAAATAGTGAATATTTATTGATTGCAAATACCATTTCTGAGAAGAAATGCGTATTAGAAAAGATGTATTTTCTATCTTCTGGTTTATATTATACAAAAATAAGTACAGCTAAAATGTATCACCTTGAACACCAGAAGTCTACTAATCCCAATGATTTTATGATTTGGCATGATCGCCTTGGACATCCTGGTTCTATAATTACTAATCCCAATGATTTTATGATTTGGCATGATCGCCTTGGACATCCTGGTTCTATAATGATGAGGCGAATAATTAATGATTTGGCATGATCGCCTTGGACATCCTGGTTCTATAATGATGAGGCGAATAATTACAAATTCACATTGTCATTCATTAAAAAAATCAAAAAATACTAAATTCTAATGAATTCTCATGTATTGCTTGGTCCCAAGGGAAGTTAATTGTTAGACCATCACCAACGAAAGTGGGAACTGAATCCCTTGTATTTCTAGAACGAATTCATGGTGATATATGTGGGCATGTAGATCCACCATGCGGACCATTTAGATATTTTATGGTACTAATTGATGCATCAACAAGATGGTCACATGTAAGTTTATTATCTAGTCGCCACCTAGCGTTTGCGAGATTGTTTGTCAGATAATTAAATTACGAGCACAATTTCCTGATTATCCCATTAAGAAAATTCGTCTAGATAATGCTGGTGAATATTCATCACATGCCTTTTGATGATTATTGCATGGCTATTGGGATAAGTGTTGAATATCCTATAGCTCATGTTCATACACAAAATGGTCTAGCCGAATCATTTATTAAACGGCTTCAATTAATTGCAAGACCATTATTAATGAGGTCTAAACTTCCTTTATCTGCTTGGGGACATGCTATATTACATGCAGCAATACTTGTGAGAATTAGACCGACAAGTTATCATATTTATTCTCCCTTACAATTAGTTCTTGGTCACGAGCCCAATATTTCTTATTTAAGAATTTTTGGTTGTGCGATATATGTTCCTATTACACCACCTCAACGTACTAAAATGGGTCCTCAAAGAAGATTGGGGATATATGTCGAGTATGAATCACCTTCTATAATTAAATATGTTGAACCATTAACATGTGATTTATTTACTGCAAGAATTGCAGATTATCATTTTGATGAATCACATTTCCCGACATTAGGGGGAGGTAAAGATCAATCGAAAAAGTAAATTAGTTGGAAAATATCATTAGACTTTCTTGATACTCGTACAAAAGAATATAAACTGGAAGTTCAAAGGATTATAAATTTATAGAAAATTACAAACCAATTACCAGATGCTTTTAGTGATTCTAGAAGAATTATTGAATCACATATTCCAGTAGAAAATGCTCCGATTAAAATTTAAAAGCCAGTAAACACTAGGAAGGAATCAAACAAGAACATTGCTGAGAAAATATTTAGGAAGAAGAAGAACAATTGACCTGAATGATAATCACTGACTTGTTTTTCATTCATGCGGCCTCATAGGAAACATATACAGATGATTATATTGAACAAAATTAGATAGTGGATGTGCAGTGCATGATCTTACGCCCTTCCGCAGTGCCACTGGAATATCCAGATCGTGGAGTAACGTGTCTTCAGTGCCAGATCTTGGTTCGGTTGATTGAGAGGGTTCAGAATTAGGTAGAACTGTACTATTCGGAATTTTCACTAAAGGCCTTTTAAATTTCTTCCGTGAATAATGCTGAAATGGTTTGGGTAATTCTTGGTGTTCTCCCCCTGATGATTCGATTGTTTGCTGACTTGGCATTGGTTGTTGTATGACGGGAACAGACGAAATAGTAGACGATTGAGGGCATATCAGAGAAGTGATTTCTGGTGTTGTGTTTGGTGAGGTTGAAGAGTCTGGAAGCTGCCGATTTAGGGCATATCAGAGAAGTGATTTCTGGTGTTGTGTTTGGTGAGGTTGAAGAGTCTGGAAGCTGCCGATTTAGGGCAGTAGAGTCAGGAATGTTTGAATGATTTTGGATCGGAGAATCGATGTGTAAATTGTGAGCGATTTAGGGCAGTAGAGTCAGGAATGTTTGAATGATTTTGGATCGGAGAATCGATGTGTAAATTGTGAGAGTTATGCACCTGATCTGACGTAGTAGATTGTGGAGTTTTTTGTGGGAAATTTGATGGAGATGATAAATTATTTTGAGTATAATTCGATGCCAGAGGTTCCCAAAAAAACTCCCAAAGATTCGGAATTTTAGAATTTGAATTTTCCATATCAGTAGGAACAGAGACATCGGCCAAAAAAATGAAGGTTTCCATATTGAATATCAGTTTTTTTGAAATATGGCTGATCCTCAAAGAATGTCACGTCCCTAGACACAAAATAACGTCTTTTTCTGGTGAATAGCACCGATATCCCTTTTGTGTTGTGGAATAACCTAAAAACACATATTTGTAAGATCGGGGGTCAAGTTTGCCTCAGCTAGGATCTGTATTGTGAACAAAGGCAGTGCACCCAAAAACCTTGAGATCTAATTCTAAAAAAGAGCGAGATTCGGAGAGACGGTTGGATAATGTGTGCAAAGGGGTTTCGAAGTGAAGAACTCGAGACGGCATTCTATTAATGAGATAGCATGCAGTAAGAACTGCATCACCCCAGAAGCATTTGGGAACATTAGAGTTAAACATCAACGCACGAGCAACTTCTAACAAGTGACGGTTTTTTCGTTCTGCAATTCCATTTTGTTGTGGTGTGCTTACACAAGAACTTTGGTGAATTAGGCCGTGATCTAGGATAAATTTGTTCATTTCATTGTTGAAGTATTCAGTTCCATTGTCAGAATGCAAAAACTTGATTTTTTTCATTAAATTGCGTCTTAACCATGGAATGAAAGGTTTGAAAAAATTTTCCAGCCTCTGACTTTTCTCGCAATAAATACACCCAACAAACTCGTGAATGGTCATCAATAAATGTAATAAACCATCTTTTGTTAGAAATACTTTTAACTCGAGAAGGACCCCATAAATCACTATGAATGAGCATGAAAGGTTTAGAACTTTGATAGGATAAAGAAGGAAAATGACCACGTTTATGCTTTGCCAATTGGCAAGTTTCACATTGAAAGTAGTCATTATTCTTAAACAAGGAAGGAAACAAATGTTTTAAATACATAAAACTCGGATGACCTAGCCTACGATGAAGAAGAGTGATTTGTTATTCTCGGGAGAGAGACTTATTATTCTTCACCAATTCAGCATTATTACTCACATTGGTTGGATATTCAAAATAGTATAGCCCACCGGATTCTTTAGCACTCCCAATCGTCACCCCCAAGGTCTGGTCCTGAAACATACAAGTAAATGGTGTGAACTTTACTACACATCTTGAGTCCTTTGTAATCTTGCTAATAGATAACAGATTGCATGATAGCTTTGGAACATGAAGAACTGCTTTTAGATAGATATTAGGACTCAGCTGAATATTACCAACACTCACAACCGCAGAAAAAGAACCATCCGCAATTCTAATTTTATGACTACCTGAATATGGGGTATAGGAGGAAAATAATTCTTGAAAACTTGTCATGTGGTCTGAGGCACCAGAGTCGATAATCCATGGTGCCTCCCTGGTTGACATGGCACTCAACGCAGCTGCATTACCTTGTTGTGCAACAAGAGATGTGCTATGAGTTCCAGCAAGAAATTAACACAGCTTCTCCATTTGTGCCTTAGACAGTGTAACACCATCTCCCTCCTTTGAATCTGTGGCTTGTGCAATTTGAAACACACGACCATCATGTCCCCGTCATGGACTCCAGTTTGCAGGCTTCCCGTGAAGTTTCCAACATGTTGCCTTTGTGTGGTAAGGTCTCTGGCAGTGCTCGCACCAGACTGAATTTTTCTTCCCATGTCGTTGGTGCTGGTCAGACCTATTTTCAGGTTGATGAGTGACCAAGGTAGTGTTTTTAGGTTGATGAACGACTAGGGCAGCATCCTCAGGGGTTGAAATTATAGTGGAGGCATTTTTCAGCATCACTCTTTTTCGGTCGATTGGTACTATTAGTTTGGTACCGAGAAGACGACCCCGAACCTCGTCAAGATCCTGGTTTAACCCAGTAAGAAAATCATAGATTCGCTCTCTTGCCAGCATTTGTTTGTAAAGAACTGCGTCTTCCGGATCTTTCCAATTATAGGATTGAAAAAGATCCATTTCCTGCCATAACTTAATCAAGGCATTGAAATACTGTGTGACATCCAGTTCTCCTTGCCGCAAATTTCGAGCACGGTTACGAAGCTCATATATCTGAGATGTATCCATGAAATCTGAGTAAGCGAGGTTGACTGCATCCCATATGCCTTTAGCAATAGGATAAAACAGGTAAGTCTCACCAATGGTGTCTTCCATGGAATGAATAAGCCATGCCATAACCATGGAATTTTGAATATCCCACGATTGAAACTTTGGATCATTGGCATCAGGTTTGACAATGCTCCTATCGAGATAGCCAATCTTACCTTTTCTGCAAATGACCATTTGAATCGATCTTGACCATTGCAGGAAATTTTTTCCGTTCAATTTGTGGGTGGTGATTTGGAGAGATGTTAGATTCAGGTGATTAGGATCAGATGATGAAACAGTAGTGGGAACAATTTTAGGGGTTGGATTGGCGGTGACCAAAGTCTCCTCCGAATCATCACCCCTGCTCATTCTAGAAGAGCCCATTGATTACCTCAACCAGTGGCTACAGACTTTCTAATTACTGCTCTGATACCATAAAAGCCGGTAAACACTAGGAAGGAATCAAACAAGAACACTGCTGAGAAAATATTTAGGAAGAAGAAGAACAATTGATCTGAATGATAATCACTGACTTGTTTTTCATTCATGCGGTCTCATAGGAAATATATACAGGTCTGGGATAGCTAATCAAATCCCTTAAAACTAGGAACTACCTTTTACATCAAATCAAATCTAATCAATCTTTTCCATGTATAGCAGACTATAATTGACAGCTAATTAAATAATTTACAGCTAATTGTCTAATTAAGGAAACAAAATAATTGACCCGCTAAGAAAATTAATATCCCAGAAGGACAAATTAAAAGTGCTAACGAATCTAAAGCACGCCTAAAGCGTGGTAGACTTCTTGGTTCTAAAGATAAGAATCCTCGAAAGAAAGAGGATCGAATGATCAAAATATTGCTAATGACAAAATTCAACCTTCTGATGAGGTCGCTCCAAAAGAGCCAACTCCTGAAGAAAATAAAACTGCAATAAATTTTATTATTACGAAAGAGTTGGAACCGAAGAGAAGTAATTGTCGATAATGCATTTGCATATAATGTAGCACTTGATATTATAGAAGATAACGAGGATCATGAACCCAGATCGGTTGATGAATGTCGGCGAAGAAATGATTGGTCAAAATGGAAAGATGCGATCTAATATGAATTAGATTCACTAGCTAAATGAAAAGTTTTTGGATATGTAGTCCAAACACCTAAATGTGTAAAGCCGGTAGGATATAAATGGGTATTTGTGAGGAAAAGAAATGAGAAAAATGAAATTATGAGATATAAAGCAAGACTTATAGCCCAATGATTTTTACAAATATCGGGATTTGATATGATGAGACATATTCTCTAATAATGGATGGAATTACATTTAGATATCTTGTGAGTTTAGCGGTACATGAAAAACTTGATATGCGTCTGATGGACGTAGTCACTATTTATTTATATGGAACCTTAGATAATGATATCTATATGAAAATCCCTGAAGGATTTAGCATGCCTAAAGCATGTAAATCAAATCCTAGAGAAATGTATTCCATTAAGTTGCAAAGATCTTTGTATGGACTCAAACAATATGGACGAATGTAGTATAACCGTCTTAGTGAATGTTTAGTCAAAGAAGGTTATACGAATGATCCTATATGTCCATGTGTTTTCATAAAGAGGAATGGGTCAATTTTTGTGATCATTCTTGTATATGTTGATGACCTTAATCTGATTGGAACTCCTGAAGAGCCCCAAAAGGCGATTGAATATTTAAAGAATGAATTTGAGATCAGAGATTTTGGTAAAACTAAATTTTGCCTTGGTTTACCAATTGAGCCTTTAGAAAATAGGATTTTTGTTCACCAAACTACTTATACCCAGAAGGTATTAAAACGGTTCTACATGGATAAAACACATCTATTAAGTACCCCGATGGTTGTCAGGTCACTTGATCCTGCTAAGGATCCTTTTAGACCAAAAGAAGAAGATGAAGAGATTCTTGGTCCTGAAGTATCATATCTCAGTGCAATAGGTACACTAATGTATTTTGCTAATTGTACAAGACCAGATATATCATTTTCTGTGAATTTATTAGCAAGATTTAGTTCATCTTCTACAAACGACATTGGGACGGTATAAAGCATATTTTCCATATCTCCAAGGAATAATTGATCTTGGCTTATTTTATTGTTATAATTCTCGACCTGAATTGCTTGGATATGTTAATGTTGGGTATTTATCTGACCCGCATAAAGCAAGATCTCAAACTGGTTATTTATTTACATGTGGTGACACCGCTATTTCATGGCAATCTACGAAACAATCAATTGTTGCCACTTCTTCGAATCATGCTGAAATAATTACAATTCATGAGGTCAGTCGAGAATGTATTTGGATAAGATCAATGATGCACTATATCCGTAAGAATAGTGGATTGTCTCCTGAAAATAAAAATCCTCCGACTATTTTGTTTGAAGACAATGCAGCTAGTATAGCTCAATTAAAAGGAGGATATATTAAAGGAGATAGTGATACGAGTCGCCGTGCGAGCACCCTTGATCGTGGAATTATCAAGAGTGGGTTGCGAAGAAAATAACAGCCGTGCGAGCACCCTTGATCGTGGAATTATCAAGAGTGGGTTGCGAAGAAAATAACAGAAGAACACACAAAAGAGTTGATTTGGGCGAAGATCAAGAGTGGGTTGCGAAGAAAATAACAGAAGAACACACAAAAGAGTTGATTTGGGCGAAGAAAAATACCTTCACTAGATTATGAGAATTAATAGATTACAAATCTCTCTCTCTCAATCTTTTTAGATCAAAGAACAACCTCTCTGATCTCTTTTCTGATTACAATCTGGTTGGTAAACCCTAGGAAAGTCGTGTTTCTATTTATATCAAATAGATATCCTAAACAGTACAGGAAACTAGGCCCATGCCCAAAACTGCATCGCGGTCGATCGCGAAAGTATCGCGGTCGACCGTGGCTGATTCGCGGTCGACCGAATCAAAACCCGAGGGCAGTTTTGATTATAGTCATAACACGGTCGACCATGGCGGTCGACCGGGATCTTACGATCGACCGCAACGGTCGACCGCCTTCAGATCCAGCTCCTCCTGAGCTTCATGCACGTTCGCGGTCGACCGTGGCTAATTCGTGGTCGATCGCAGAAGAACCAGTAGCCTTCTTCCTGTTCTTTCCTACAGTCTTCGACGTTGCCACCCCCGATGACTTCTTCTACGTCTCTATTCTCAAGATACCATGAGAATCATCTATCCTCACACTCCTGATGAGGATCGCTAAGTTCCCGAAGTAAGGAAGAAGATACACTCGTATCATTGCTCTCATCTTTAGGAACTTGAAGTCCTGTTCAAGTTAGAACTAGAGTTGAGGGAACTCGTGAGCCCCTCCTTCTCTGTTAAACCACTTGGCTTTGCTAGGAACCTGACCTTAGCGTCCGATCAAAAACGATTCTTTAGTTCCTCGTCTAGTCGTAGTCACTTTTCGCTCCAAAATGTAATCCTCTTTCGATGGCTTTTCTAGAAGTCCAATGCACAGCGAGACAAACTTCTTGCTTGCATTCACTAGCCTCTTCGCTCGCGTCGCCGTCCCAAGCTTGTCTCCCTCGGAAGAGACGCCGAACGAAATATGAACTTTTCATCGCCTTTGGTATACTTCTGAATCCGCCTCTCGTGGATCGCATATAAGTACGGATTGCCCAGTATAATTTGATAAACATCCAATGGAACAACGTCGCACATGACCTCGTCAATATAGGACTCGTGGAGCACAAATCTGACAGTGTATTGATCAACTATACTCAGTCTCTCCTCCTTCTAAATCCACCCTAACAGATAGGGCTTCTAATGCTTGACCGTCTTCAGACCCAACTTCTAAACCAAGGCCTCGGATATTAAATTCTTCTTGCTGTCCGGATCAACAATGGCATCAACCAAGCTGGTCTTGACCTGCAACTTCAAAACAAAGAGCTGCTCTATCGGGTCTTTGTCCTTTGTCGTGGTCTGCTTCCCCGCCATAAGGTTGAGATTGTTGTTGGGTTCTGTCATCCCAAGGACTTCCTTCGGACCCTGTGCTACCACGTATGCTTTCTTCTCCTCCTTCTTCTTCAATCCCTTTGGTTTCAGACGAGGATACTTCTCCCAACAATGATTAGCTATGTGCCCTGTATGTTTGTAGTGATTGTATGTCAAACCTGCCTTCCCCGAGTCACCCTTCTTCTTCTCTTCCTTAGATTGAGTGCCACTAGACTTGCCTCCTTTTTGTTTGGAGTCTTATTTCGTTTTGTTGCTCTTCTTTTGCCTACCCTCAATGGTAATGGCCTTCACACTCGCCTCTGCAATGGATTCAACTGTGAAAAGCCTCGTCTCCTTTCGGATATACTCATTCAGACCTGCTATATACTTTATAAAAATAGGATATTTCTCTGTTGTGATGTTGAGGACCATCGATTGTTGTTGGAATTCCGTTGTATACTCTTGGACAGTCTGGTTGAATCGTTGACGTAATATGTACCACTTGTACCAACGCTTTTCGATAAACCCTACCGGATAGAACTGCTTCCTAAGTAGTTCCTTGAACTTGTTCCACGACACCGTCTTCTTCTCCTGCTTGCAATAGGATTTCCACCATGTCAAGGCATGCCCCGAAAGCTTCAGAGTCGCGAACCTTCTTCTCCTGCTTGCAATAGGATTTCCACCATGTCAAGGCATGCCCCGAAAGCTTCAGAGTCGCGAACACGAGCTTCTCCTTGGATGAATATCCGTAGAGTGTGAAATAGGTCTCCATCCGCTCGATCCAATCATCAAGCTTCTTAACGTTGACACTCCCGTCATAAATAGGAATCTTCACTTTGAAGTCTATCTTTAAATTCTGGTAAAAATCCTTACCCCCCTGGTGTGAAACAGACCTAACAATACGGGCCTCCTCATCTGAATCTGAATCCTCACCTTCTCTATCAGACTCCACAAGTTTCTTCTTGCCTTTTGAAGAAGATTCCACCTTGTTTCCTTTGTCTTGGACAAGATTGATGAGCTGCACGAGGGTCGAACCCATTGTCTCCATCTGCTTCTCCAATGCATCTAGCCTTTCTGAGCTATCAACTTTAGTCATCTTCTTCTTCCTTGATTTCTGGACTCCTTTCAATAAAATAAGGATCTCGCCTAGCTTCTTGTATTGCAATTGAGTCAGGACCATGCACATGATGCCCTCTTCGCAGGATCCAATCACTCTGATACCAACTTGATACGAGTCGCCGTGCGAGCACCCTTGATCGCGGAATTATCAAGAGTAGGTTGCGAAGAAAATAACAGAAGAACACACAAAAGAGTTGATTTGGGCAAAGGAAAATACCTTCTCTAGATTATGAAAATTAATAGATTACAAATCTCTCTCTCACAATCTCTCTAGATCAAAGAACAACCTTCCTGATCTCTTTTCTGATTACAATCTGGTTGGTAAACCCTAGAAAAGTCGTGTTTCTATTTATATCAAATAGAAATCCTAAACAATACAGGAAACTAGGTTCATGCCCAAAACTGCGTCGCGGTCGACCGCGAAAGTATCGCGGTCGACTGTGGCTGATTTGCAGTCGACCGAACCAAAACCCGAGAACAGATTTGATTACAGTCATGGTGCGGTCGATCATGATGGTCGATCGGGATCTTACGATCGAGCGCGGCGGTCAACCGCCTTCAGATCCAGCTCCTCCTGAGCTTCGTGCAAGTTCGCGATCGACCGTGGCTGATTCGCGGTCGATCGCAGAAGAACCAACAGCCTTCTTCATGTTCTTTCCTGCAGTCTTTGACGTTGCTACCCCCGACGACTTCTTCCACGTCTCTATTCTCAAGATACCATGAGAATCATCTATCCTCACACTCCTGATGAGTATTGCTAAGCTCCCGAAGTAAGAAAGAAGATACACCCGTATCAGATAGAACGAAACACATTTCACCAAAATTCTTCTTTACACATGATTTTCAAAAGAATGGTGAAATTATTATGCAACAAATTCGATTGAGTGATTATCCGGTAGATTTATTCACCAAGGAATTGCCGACTACAAACTTTGTGAAATTGGTAAAAATTATTGGAATGCATCAGTTGAAAGATCTCAAATGATATTTGAATCAGGGGGAAAAACTAATACACAAGAATAGTGTACTCTTTTTCCTTCACTAAGATTTTTTTCCCACTGGGTTTTTACCTAGTAAGGTTTTAACGAAACATATTCTTTGTGTAATGTTGGACATCCAAGGGGGAGTGTTATGAAATAATGTGGATGCCTATTTAGTTTTCCAAGAAGTTGATATTCCCCTAATACATTAATCTTCTTCCTAGAATAACACAATGCATGTTCTTGAAAGACTAAGTTTAAGAATGAGTAATTAATATGATTTATGTATCATCATCTTAGTTTGTATATAAATAGAGGTATTCCTACATCACTTTGATATAGCAATGAAGAACGAATGAAATAAAATTTCTCTTTACTTCTCGTCTACCTTTTCTTCTCTCTACTTCATTAGTTTTATAACATATATAGTAGTATTGTAGCACAAAAACCCGAAGCCTCTAATTTAAAGGCTTCAAAATATAGATGGTTCATGTTTGTATTAGTGACTGTTAATGAAGCAACCATGACCTTGCAAAAGTCAAATTAACCAAATGTTAGTTACACTTTCTGCTTCAGGGTTAGACTATCCAATAGAATATGATATTGCAATGAAAAAAATGAATAAAAGCTCACGAACAACTGGAGATCCTTGGATGGCACGGCTTTGAACAACTTAAGGCCTCCTAAAACATGTAGTTGTATTCTAGTTGTTTACATTGAAAGGTTATGTAACTGTATTATATTTTCTTTAATATAAATATATAATCTGACTGCCTCTCCCTCCCTAACTCAGTCAAGTTTCCCCTTTTGTGTCTGCAAATACTATCTAACAAAGTCGTCCACCCCTAATTTCCTCAATTCAGCTCAAAAATAATAATTCATCAAAATTAACTAAAAGGACATAAACCATAACTTCACAAAAAATAACAATTGAATTTTTACCTGATGAAACTGACACAGGAGCAAGATGAAGACTTGAAGCAAGCCCTAATTCGGACAATCCTTGACCTATTGTTGAATTAGAACAAAATTAAATGATGGCTAATTAGAAGAAAATTAAATGAATTTTTTATTTAAAATTAGAACAAATGAGAGGAATGAAGAAAAAAAGGGTGAGATGGTGAATTGAGCAGAAAGCATAGGTAAAATTTATTAATACCTTCTTCAATGAAATTCCTTCCTGATTCTACCCGATGCAAAAATTCAGACAATTGAGGAGATGATGGTGGAGGCGCAGCGTTGGTGATTAGGGAAATAACACTCATCTTTTGAAATTGATGACTTAAGATCGTGGGACAGCGTAACGGAAGAACTGAGAAGATGGGCTGAGATGAAGGGTAACGGATGAACTGGTGAATTGAATTCATCTTTAAAAGTTGTTGGAGGTAATGGAAGATCGGAGGAGGCTACGTAACCGATGAATTGAAAGGATTAGGACGTAACCGATGAATTGAAAGGAGGAGGAAGAAAATAAGCGTAACCGATGAAAGGGTGAAGTGGTTTATGAATTAATGAGTATCCTTGTCATAAGAGGGGATTTCCTCCTTGACGCCTCTAAAATCACATGATTGAGCGATATTATGGATGATCCGCTCCATTGAGCTTGATCTACATATTTTAAAACCCCAACACACCAAGTTTGGGGTGAATCCGTCGTCGTTTGACTCTCCATGGAACCATGTGAAAAGTTCTATTCATTCAAAGCCGTTAAAATTGATACGAGGGGATACGAGGGGATGAAGGGGCAGCAGCTTTCTTTCCTCGCTCTTCTCCTCCAAATAAACCCTCATTAAACCCTCAGAAAAGGGGGGAAATTCAAGAAAGAGGAAGACACAAAAGAAGAAAAAGAATGATTATGGCGATGAGGGCAATGGCGAAGGATCGGATCCGAGCGTTGCCGCTGGGGATGGCGGTGACGAGAACTCTTTACACGGGGGACGGAGGGAGGTGAGTAGATAAGCGCGCCTTTCAGGTGCGGTTTGTGCGCCTGTGGGAAAGCGATCCAAGCAGCAGCGTCGAGGATACGATGAGGAGGTGGTTGAAGGAGGGGAGGATGGTGACCGAATCCGAGCTCATGAGCTTCGTCAGGGAGCTTCGCAAACACAAAAATTACACTACTGCCCTTCAGGTTAATTTACAGAAATGCCTTCTGTTTATCATCAATTTATGTCTCAATTTTATCATTTGGCATTGTCCGACAGAAACAAGGGTAAAAAAATTAAAACAGAAGAAATTTGATTTATTACCCGGAAAAACTCGAGTTTGCAATGCACATAACAAGACTCTAGTTATATGTAATAGTTTCGAGCTCTTTTGATGGGTTTGCAGCAAATAGAGTGCATATTTTTAGAGACAACATGGAGCAATAACCATTAAAGGCGAATTATGTTTTCTAGATTTATGATACCTTATCATACTAATTTATATAATTACAAGAAAGCAGAGAACAGGACATGCGTAGTGTGTGAATCTAAATTGTTAGAAGTGTTTGTAGATAAAGTACTTTATGTTGTATGTACCCGATCAGAAGCTAAGGTCAGAAATAATATCTAATTAGTACTGATTGATGGAAATCCAAGCATGGGATTGTTGCCAAAAATAAGGAGGTTTACCAATGAGATTAACCAAAACCGTTCTCTTTCTTTTAATATGAGGAGGGTCATCTAAGTTATCTTGATATAGGTATGAAATTTCTTTTACCATATTAGTTCTAGCATCTATTAAACTTTTGACCTCCGTAAGTTATATTCCTTTCCAATCTCAACAAGTTTCTCTTAGGTCTCTTCTACTGCTGTGCTTGTATACAAATATAGATAATGCGTGCTTATTGTGTGCGCCAATTGATGGTTATTTGGGCCTCCTCCTTGTCAATCCATTTAATATTGTCCTATCACTTTTCCTAGTTTACACACACACACCGATCACTGTCGGATATGTTAAAAACATCTCAAAATAGTCTGTCTTCATCATATCCACAATCGAATTTGTATCATACTTATTATTAATACTGATGAGTACATAAATACCTTAGTGTTTACATGGCTTTGCACATAAATACCCTAAGTTTTTTTGACAATTAATAACCTTATTGTTTCCCACCTTTGGATCCCATTATCTTTTCCTAACATTGTTATATTTTACCCCACTTTTTATTTTTAGCCAAAATTTTTACTATCTCTCCATCTCCTGCCTCCCCCCCCCCCCCTAAAAGAAAGGAAAATGTAGAAAGTGGAATAGAGATTAGGATTTTTTTGGGGGGCGGGGTGGGGATGAAAGAATAAGTCTGTTCTTACCACTGTGTATAATTCCTGAAACTAGTGTACCCCGGTTTTTCCTTCTTTTTCCCAAGTCACTGCTATGAACATCACAAAATGACATGAGAGAAGAGATCATGGTTACTGGAGGAGCATGCTTTATTGGTCTCACAGTTGCTTTTGCTTTCTCAAAGAGAGGTTTCTTGTGTCCATCACAGGTTAACCTTGATTAGGGGGACATACAGTCAGTTCAGTCGGGTGTTAAAGAATTTCACATAAACTTAAACCAGATAATGTTCTTAATTTATGAAACCAAACAGACTTCGATCAAAATTATTTTGGTCATCATGTTTCTATTCCGGTTTATATTTATGGTTTAGACATTTTAGCGTCTATATTATTGGTATAGGTTGTTTGACGCAAATGGAAGAAAGGTATATCAGAACATTCGTGTTAAATAAAAAATGTAGAATAAGGCATAATCCATTAACAACCAAGGATAACGATACAATTGATAACCTTAGATAATAAATATTAGGAAAAGAAGAAGGAAAAGTTTGTTTGAATTATAAAAAAAGTAAAAAAGAGAAAGTATATCTTAACAAGAGAATGAGAAGATGAGAAGAAGTTCAGATAATTGACTTAGTTGAATATCTTATCAAACTAAAAATTGAACCAAATCGACTATCATTATATTATACAACAAAATTTCATTATACCGAGTCTCGAGAAATAAAAGTTCGATTCGGTTTATGGTACACCTTTAATTTATTCATAATAACCGACTAAAACCCCAACTACACCAACATGCTACTGCATATCTCTGCTAAATCCTTAGCTCTTCGTGCAGCTATAAGCAATAGTTTTGGATAGAGTAGAGATTCTTGCCAGAGACTACAATTACTTTACAAATGTCTTCCTAATCTTACTTTAGAAATTTGCCATTTACGTAATTTTTGTTATCAGCGAATGAATTTATGAATATTATTTGTTTTATATTGTTACTTGCTCTTTACTTAGTGTTTTCCTTCTTTTTTTTAATTTACATAATATTACCTAAGTATTAAATTGCATATGTCTCATCTGTTTCAACCCACTTTAGACAAGTAATGGTTCCTCGTATCTTGCATGCATATAATGGATATGAACGTAAGGAGAACAAAATCATCTTAGAGTAGTAGAGCTGAGTGGCAGGATTTTGTTGTATGCTATGTTGTAAGTGTAGGATTAGGTATACATTACAGTGTTATCTGTTTTATCGTGATTTTCCCCATATTTATACGCTCATAGCATATCCATTTAAAAAGGTGAATTTTAAAAATTTTATTCGCATGTACAGAGTTCACTATGGGCATCCTTGCAGGAATATGATTATGTCCTAACAACAAGGCTTGGTGTTGGCAGTGAGCTAGAAGGGATATCCAGACATGTTCTTATTGTAATAGAAGTTATTAATAGTGAGGTGATAGATTTATGCACTTTATAAAATGACTGTACGAGTATTAATTTAGCAAAAGACTATAGTGAACGCTCTCACGAGAATTTATTTAATGTTTATAACTGTACTCACATTTATTAGTGTTCATCTTCTTAATTATTTACTCATGTGTAGTATGAAACGGTAAAATTGAGTATTATAATTTTGATTCCAGATATATCTATACATGGTAATTGGTTCATATATAATCCGATTATTTATTAAGACGGTATGGAACAGTTGATACTCTCAGATTTTGGTAACCAAGGTAATTGGAAATATGTAAGACAAAATGTATCTATCTTCCATGAGTTGAAACTCATGAGGCATTTATTACTAACCTTTTTTGATTGACATCAAGCCTTCGGCATATTTATAGATTCTAGTCCAATAAAGTATTTCTCTATTTTCTATTTTTCTGTAAGTCATAGTGATCAGTTTAAATGACAAACATTTGCAGTTATTGATGTCTATGCCTTTCATAGATGTTATTTTCTTATTGGATATGATTGTTCATGATTGATTAAGTTTTCTACCTTACGTATTAATTAAATACGCTATCTAGCGCAAGTCTTCTATTCAAATTTTTATATTCTCGTATTTTTCCTAAGCTTTTTCCCTTTATTATTATATTAATTTGAACTCATTAGTGAATGTATTCTCATGACTTATGTTAGGATTCGATAGAAGAGACATCAATAATTAATTATTTTGGACAAAATTAAAAATCTGATAGAATTATACTCTTGATCAGGGCATGAGATTCTTATATATATAGTACTATTTCATAAATCTGTGTACTCTTATGTTTCATATAGCTCATTAATGATACAATTGTTTAGCATGATTATTGTCTCCTTTTATGTCTGAAAATCTTGTGGGAAATACTATTATCATCAACTACGTCTTATGTATTTATATTCCTATTAGTGTGACTCAAATGTCATATCACATCTTCAATAAACTCATGGTATTGTTAGCAGTTTGTACGAAATCATTATAGATTTGATTACTTCTGAGTAGGACCTAAGAAGTTTACAATGTAGAGATATGTTTCCTACAGAAAAGCCATAGTAAATTATTTAACTTTTCAATCATCAATTTTTGCAGGGCCTGTTGACGTTTAGCTTAGTCGCATTATTTATACTTCTTGATCATTTATATCGTTAGGACAGATTGGATGGAATAGTCATAATGAATTATAACGTATTTATATCAGTTCTAGATATTCAGGTATCAGCCATGCAATTCGATTCTAGCTCCCTCTGGCATATCTTGGGAAGGTCATCTGGCGTGAATTCCTATAAGAGTTATTGGTCCTATAAAACTGTATTTCATCTCGGTAACACCTATACTATCACACAATGCATACTAATCACTCACAGCGTCATATCACATTACGCTAGATCTCTTTCATAAAACAGTTTGCCAAGATAGAAAATGAGACAAATGACATAAGCATTAGCTCTTGAGCAGATGAAAAACTTTGGATAACTTTGCTTCAACCCTCGTCAATATTGAATCTTCTTAATTCTTTTCAATTTTACACTTAAAAGATGGAATATCCTATGAACGGTCTGCCAAAGCATCGCAGTGCTCTGTTATAGTACTTGAGACATAATTGAGGTGATAGGAGCCCAAATGATTCGTTCGATACAATTGTCTATACTTTAAGGGCATTTAGCCTCTATAAATTACGTCTGTGTTCTTCTATTGATCCCAATAAATGATTGAATTATTTGAAGGCTCAGTTGAAAGAGTCAATTTGAGATTATTAGACTGTTGCTTCCGAATCATCTCTTCATCTACTAAGACAGATGTAATGAGGTCATTACTCTATTCTTGGTCTTCTGGGATTAGTTTATATATGTATGATAATTTTTATATGATGACATATTGTCTTGAGTTACCCTAAAGATAGGCAATTGAGAATATATTCAAGGATTTAATTCACCGTTTGATCTATGAATATTTTTAGATCCGTATCAATAAATATATTTGATTATTGTAGGAAGATGCCTTTTATCTTACTTGAATTCTAATTTCATAAGTTTTCCTTTCCACCATCATACGGGGTCTTGGTTTTGCGTAATTTAGCAGAGTACCATATGTCAGTCCATAGGGTGTGAATAGTACTCTATTGTCGCTTTAGCCTAATATCCGATGCACACATATATAAATCTTCTGATGCTATTCCTCAATCAGTTTCATTCATGGCGCTGATGGCAATGACAATATGGGGTGATGTGTTGATGAGTGGAATGCAGTGCTTTGAAGAATGTTGGAGTCGTTTTGTTGATCGGAATACCGACAACTATGAGTGTATTATATATTGATTGGGCTGAATGTAGTAATTTCGATGCAAATTACTTAAGATTAAGGGAGATTATTGAGAATAGAGACGATTCAGGCCATGACTTCCTGGAGATAGCGTAATAGAGAAAGGGATTTCGGATTAAGACTTACAAGGAATCATTGGGGACTCGTTCACTGAGTATTTTACTTTACTTGGATGTTGATGAAATGCGTAGTCGTTTGGGCTATTAAAGGCCTGGTAATCATCCATTGACGATTATCCTGATAAATAAATGCCATAGAGGTAATGGAGCCGAGCAAATGAGAATGGGAGTCTTGATTTCTATGACACTATTTTTTTTGAGGAAGACTAAGGATGTGCGATGGAGCAGAAGAAAAATTGCAGATCATGTCTATAGATAGAATATAACATGAATTGCTCTGGATGCAGAAGCCTACATGAAATCTCTTATCCCAAAGTTTATAGTTCTGATGAAAGACATGTGAGCCATATCTTCCGCAAGAGTAATAAATTAAAGTCTGATGATGGATCCAAAGTCAGGGACGGCTAAGCCTTGTTAAGTACGTTGAATAATGGTTATCCATTGATTTAGGTGAATGCAAAGAACTTAGCGTTCGTATAATTAGTAGTATATAATGCGACAATTGGTGTTGTCTCTGGATAGCCCACTCTTATTATCTTAAAAATAGTTCGATTTCTCAGTTAGATTAACAGGGAGTATCAGCGTTAGAGATCGTCTGACTACTGCTGGTAAATAGCAAATATACAATGAATGTTGAGATTCTCTTTCTCCATAACCTAACTTATGAAATTCGGTGATCATATACTAGAGGATAAAGCAATTTTAACAGGTAGTGTTAGGATGGTTTAACATCTTTCTCTGTTTCTCCGCACATTTCATAGGGTAGTTTTCTCGGACAAATGTATATGTATATTGACTAAGCTTTATATTATATCCCTGTATAATAATGTATCCTCTTAATTGCAACTCGACCTATATCAGTCTTCATCTCGATAGTATCTGATTTAGCCTTATATATTTGTAGAACAGGTATTTCTTTTTTCACCCATAAATATATGATTGAATATGATTGAGATTAAAATAACTTATTCTTGAATTATTGGATGTATGAATATTTTCTTATTTTTGTAATACATAGTATAACACGACACACTGAGCTAATAGCTCTATGTTTTGTTTAAGGTACCATATTTAATATTTTAATTAGAGCTGAGTAGTATAAGTATCGTGGAATATGAAAATGTAGAGACTGACGATAGAATGACACAGTGGATGGATAGGTTAAATTAGTTCTATCTTTACCTTTATATCAACCCTCGTAGATGAAAAAGGGATAAATTTATGCAAATAGGTACTATCATCCCGGACCTTTAGGGGGCTTCCTCCTGGTAACTTTTGAATACGTGATTCCACTTGTACACATAATGGCAATGTTTGGGGTGGTTGCTGGGAATATTTTAAATTTAGAGGCTTATGTAGAGTTAATCTCTATAGAATGATCATTCTTGATTATAATATGTGAAGATTTCTGGATATATTCGCATTAGATACACAGCATCTTGATTTGTATTTTAATTTTATTTATGATCTTGACTTGTTTTCCATTATTAATTAGTGATGATATGAGATTAGGATTTTTTTGGGGGGCGGGGTGGGGGATGAAAGAATAAGCTGTTCTACACTGTATAATCCTGAAACTAGTACCCCGGTTTTCCTTCTTTTTCCCAAGTCACTGCTATGACATCACAAAATGACATGAGAAGAAGAGGATCATGGTTACTGGAGGAGCATGCTTTATTTGGTCTCACACTGTGCTTTTGCTTTCTCAAAGAGAGGTTTCTTGTGTCCATCACAGGTAACCTTGATTAGGGGTGAGCATACAGTCAGTTCAGTCGGTGTTAAAGAATTTTCACAAAACTTAACCAAAATGTTCTTAATTTGAAACCAAACAGACTCGATCAAAATTATTTTGGTCAGCTCTATTCGGTCTATTTGGTTTAGAATTTTGCCTGTTTATGGTAAGTGTTGTTTTGACCCAAAAGAAAGGTAATCAAGAAATCGGTAAAAAAAAAGGTGAATTAAGGGATCAATAAAAGAACGATACAAATAAATTGAGATAATAAAAAATTTAAGGGAAAAGAGAAGGAAAGTTGTGGACTAATAAAAGGAAAGAAAGTCATTTAAACAAATGAGAGAGTGATCGGTTTCGTTTGACTGAGTTGAAATTTTCTCAAACTAAACTGACCAAACTATATTCTTATACCGAATCGAACCATCAAAGTTCGATTGGTTCGGTCACTTTAATTAATTCAAACCGACTAATGCTCACCCTTAACCTTAGCTCTTGTGAGGTAGCACTGGATAGAGTTAGAGATCTTGCAGGACTGAATCTCTTTCAAAGTCTCCAATCTAACTTGGTTTGCTATATTTGCTTGCACTAGGGAATCTTATCCTTGTTTTAATTGGTTACTTGCTCTTTACTTAGTGTTTTCCTTCTTTTTTTTAATTACATAAAATAATAGGTTGCTATGCTCCATCTGTTTCAACCCACTTTTTGACCGAAGTTCCTCCCGTTGCATGGAGTAGGGATATGAGGAAGGAGAAAAACATGTAAAAAGTATGCAGAGGTGATTCTGTTTTTCTTTTTCCCCCATGTTTAAGCTAACTTTAAAAGAGTGACTTTTTAAATTTTTGGGCACGTGCAAGTCACATGAGCACCTTGGAGGGAATATTCCAACAACGAAGTGATAGAGGGTATTGACATGCCACTTTATAGAAGTTTAGGGTATTTACTTGTTATAAAAATAGGGTGTTTATTTGCAAAGACATGTGAACATTAAGGTATTTATGTGCTACTAATCCCAGTATTAGTGTTGTTTCTCATATTACTTTTTCATATATAGTTTATTCATTTATCTGGATGCTTGTAAAGGTAAATTGATACATTAACATATCTCTTCGTTTTTACCCAAAATGATTGGAAAGAAGAAGAAAAAGATACTTCATGTAAATGGGCATGTTTTTACAAACTTTTTTCTTGTTGACACAAGCTCGTGCATTGATCTGTCACAAACGTTTTTTCTTTTTTCTTTTTCTGTACAGGTGTCCGTTTAAATGCAACACATCTTACTGTGTCATTGGCATTTCAAGTGAATTGTTTTATTGTGGATCTTTGTCCATGATTGCTTCTTAGGTTTACCCATACATTATGTTTTGAAGGTTCTTTCTTTCAATTTTATTATCGGTATTTTTTCTAACGTTCCCTCTAATTATCATATGGAATTTCCATGCTGTCAGGATCGATAAAGTAAAGCAATAATACTTTGGGGACAAAAATTAAAACTGAAGTATTTTGATACTGATTTTTAGCATGAATTGTCTCCTTAGTACTGAAGTTCTTGTGAGGAATCATGCCTTTCATCAACACGTGGATGCTTTTAATTGATTTATGCTGAATGTCACAACCTTCTCAAAAATGGTATTTGTGATGTACGATCATTAAGACTGAACTACTGAAGGAATTAGAAGTTTACAATTAGAGAGCATCCGTCAGGGAAAGCCATCGTAATTTTTTAACTTGAATTTTGCAGGGAGCCTATCTTACGATATTTAATTTTTTTCATTAACAGTTAACAGATTGGATGGAAAAAAAAGGTCTTACATTCAATTTCAGTAGCCATGCAATACGTTTAGATCTCATATCGAAGGTCAGCGGAATAGATATGGCTGAGAAATATTTCGGTACACTTCCTATACAAGCAAAGAACCAAAAGACATACGGATCTCTTCTAAACAGCTTTTGCCAAGAGAAAATGGAAGACAAAGCCATTGCCCTCTTTGAGAAGTTGAAAGAACTGAACTTTGCTTCAACCCTCGCATATAACAATATCATGACACTTTACAAGATATTAGATCAGCCAAAGAAGGCCCTTATGTACTTTGAAGAAATGAAAGGAGCCAATGTCGCTTCAGATACATTTACATTAGGCATCTTAATTACCTGTTACACTTCCCTAAATGATATTGAATCAGTGGAAAGAGTCATTGAGGAAATGAAAGTGGCCGAAATTCCTATGACAGAGGTCATTTACTCTAATCTGGCTTCTTGTTATATTTGTGCAGGAATTTATGAGAAAGCTGAGTTAGCCCTTAAGAAGGCAGAGGAAATTATGAATCACCGTGATAGAACTTCTTATAACCGTATAATAAGTTTGTATGCAAGAGCCGGTAATTTAGCAGAGACCATTAGGGTGTGGAAATTACTAAAAGCTTCTTTCCCAAGGACAAATAATTTGAGCTATCACAATTTTCTTCATGCGCTTGGAATATTAGGTGATGTGGATGGAGTGAAGCAGTGCTTTGAAGAGTGGGAGTCGGTTTGTATCAACTATGATGTAAAAGTGCTGAATGTAGTAATCGATGCATACTTAAGGAAGGGGATGGTTGAAGAAGCAGAATCACTGCGAGAGAAGGGTATAGAGAAAGGACTTGGATTAGATTTCAGGACATTGGACCTGTTCACTGATTATTACTTGGAGAGAAATGACGTGGGTTTGGCTTTAAAGTGCCTGGACATCATTGATACCTCTGAAAAACAATGTGAATGGAAGCCGAGCAAAGAGAAGGTGAGCATATTTTTGAAGTATTTTGAGGAAGCTAAGGATGTGGATGGAGCAGAGAAATTCTGTCAGATTCTGAAGAAGATCAACTGCCTCGATGCAGAAGCCTATGAATCTCTTATCCGTGTTTATGTGGCTGCTGAAAGAAAGGAGCCCTCTCTTCCGCAAAGAATAAAGGAGGATGGAATCAAGGTCAGCGCTGAAGCCGGTAAGTTACTTGAAATGGTTACTGATTAGGTGAAGAAGAACTCGGTTTCTGAAAATAGTAGCTAATGCAGCTTTGGTTCCTGGAAGCCCCCTTATTTCTGAAAATACTTTCTAGTTTCAACAGAGGAGTTCGTTAGGATCGTGTTATAGAAAATACAAGATTGAATCTTTTAACCAAATGAATTTGATTATAGAGGATCAAAGATAACCCAGGAGTAGGTGGTTACGTTTTCCTGTTCCCATTCATGGGCTAGTTCTTCGGACAAAGAATGAATATTGACATGCTTCTATTCATCCTGTAATGTTACTTAATTTGACGAATCATTCAGTCTTAGCTTCGATAGTATCGAGGCCTATATTTGTAGAAAGTTTTCTTTTTTCACCTCATGAAAATAATGATTAGATGATGAGACTTAAAATTATCTGTTGGATGTGATTGTTGATTAATACAATTACACGTCCCTGCTGCTAATAAGCTCTGTTTTGTGTAATTATTTATTAGCGAGAGTAAACGGGGAAATGAAATAGGATGAGATGATGCAGGTGGATGGTTAAATAGTTCTTTTCATCCTTTATCAATCCTGTAGATGGAAAAAGGGTAAATTTTGCAAAACACCCGTGACCTTTGGGGGGCTCCTCACGAAACTACCGTGACCTTAATTGTTCCACAAAACAATGTTGGGTGGTTCGTTGGGAAAATTTTAAAGTTTAGAGGGCTTATGTGAGAAATCCATAGAGTTCATCTGTCATATGTGAAATTTACCCCATATATATATATATATATATATAGATTAATGGGTATCATTGTCATAGGAGGGGATTTCCTCCTTGACGCCTCTAAAATCACATGATTGAGCGACATTATGGATGATCCGCTCCGTTGAACTTGATCTACATATTCTAAAACCCCAACACACCAAGTTTGGGGTGAACCCGTCGTCATTTGACCCTCCATCGAGCCATGTGAAAAGTTCTATTCATTCAAAACCGTTAAAATTGATACGAGTGGATGAAGGGTCAAACGACGACGGGTTCACCCCAAACTTGATGTGTTGAGGTTTTAGAATATGTAGATCAAGTTCAACGGAGCGGATCATCCATAATGTCGCTCAATCATATGATTTTAGAGGCGTCATAGGAGGAAATCCCCTCCTATGACAAGGATACCCATTAATCTCATATATATATATATAATTTAGACGTTAAAGCAAGAAGTAAAACTTTTAAAGCAAGAGAATCAATATATCCTCACAAAGATTAGTGAAGAAGAGGAACTTAGAGAGAAACATGCATCAATAGTCTCTTCTCAACCTAATTCACCTAGAATCTCTGATAGAGATAACGATGTTGCAGAATCTTCCCAAAAGAATGAATTTTTGAATATATTACAACAAATAACATCTCAAAAATGATATATAAATATTACATTGGTCATAGCCAAACGAGTGTTTATACCAGATCTTATAGCTTTAGTTGATAGCGATGCAGACAATGGGATTCAGCCCAATTTAACTATTCCACAATTAAAAAGGAAATGCTAGCTATTATAAAATGTTTTTACAAATTTAGAGATGATATTCTCAACCAACAATTTCTATTAAAAATAGATTGTAGTTCTGTTAAACCTGTTTTAGAAAAAATGTTAAAAATCTTGTTTCTATACAAATTTTTGCCAGATGGCAAGCTGAATTAAGATTGATTATATATGTGGACAAGATAATCATCTACATGATTTCCTAACACGTGAATTCTTACAGGGTACGTGGACAAGATAATCATCTATATGATTTCCTAACACGTGAATTCTTGCAGGGTACTCATGCTGGAATAACTCCTCCCAAAGGGGGGAGGAAATGTTGGAGGAAAAATTTTTGCCAGATGGCAAGCTGAATTAAGATTGATTATATATGTGGACAAGATAATCATCTACATGATTTCCTAACACGTGAATTCTTACAGGGTACGTGGACAAGATAATCATCTATATGATTTCCTAACACGTGAATTCTTGCAGGGTACTCATGCTGGAATAACTCCTCCCAAAGGGGGGAGGAAATGTTGGAGGAATTGATTATATATGTGGACAAGATAATCATCTACATGATTTCCTAACACGTGAATTCTTACAGGGTACGTGGACAAGATAATCATCTATATGATTTCCTAACACGTGAATTCTTGCAGGGTACTCATGCTGGAATAACTCCTCCCAAAGGGGGGAGGAAATGTTGGAGGAAACTTATATATGTACATATAAGTTTATACAAATTTATACTCTTATATGTATTTATACTATTATATAAATATACTTATATATGTACATATAAGTTTATACAAATTTATACTCTTATATGTATTTATACTATTATACTCTTATATATATATTTATACTCTTATATGTATTTATACTATTATATAAATATATGTATTTATACTATTATATAAATATACTCTTATATGTCTTTATACTATTATACTCTTATATGTATATTTATACTCTTATATGTATAAATATATTTATACTCTTATATATATAAATATACTCTTATATGTATATATTTATACTATTATACTCTTATATGTATATTTATACTCTTATATGTATTTATACTATTATACTCTTATATATATATTTATACTCTTATATGTATTTATACTATTATATAAATATACTTATATATGTACATATTTATACTCTTATATATATAGGGAGAGGTTCAAATACAAACCTCACTATCCTAAAAACTAAAAACCAATCCTCTCCATTGGATCTAGATTCATCCAATGGCTGAGATTAAAGCTGCATAAGGGTAATTAGGTAAAATAAACAGCCCACTAAAGAGAGGTAATTAATGCTTATCTGTTGAGTTCTCTATTTCCCCATGCAACTCTCTCTCTCTCCAAAATCACAGCAACTCTCTCTCTGTCTTCAACATCTCTCTTCTTCAACCTCTCTCTCTCTCTCTCCAAAATCACAGCAACTCTCTCTTCTTCAACCTTCGTCCTCATGGTTTATGAAATTATTTTGACGCTTCGTCTTCACGGTCTTCTTCAACCTTCGTCTTCATGATTCAGTGGGCTGTTAAATTATTTTGAGGCTTTAATGGTAAGTTTATAAAATTTGTTTGATTTTTCATCTAAAAGTTTTAGTTTTAACTTTTTGTTGTAAAAGGTGAAATATTTCACCTTTTAGTCTGAAAAGTTTTTTGTTTTTTGAAGAAACCAGTTGAAAAACGAAGACACGAATAAGTGAATCTAGATTCACTGCAGTGAATCTCGATTCACAGCAGTGAATCCAGATTCAGTATGTGAGGTGTTTGTTTTTACCATTAAAATTGTAATTTTTTGCTGTAAAAGATGAAATCTTTTCATGGTTTAAAATTTTATAGCTTGTTTTTACCATAAGTTTCTTATTCTTTTTGTTTAAAATTTTATAGCTTGTTTTTTACCATAAGTTTCTTATTCTTTTTGTTTAAAATTTTATAGCTTGTTTTTTACCATAAGTTTCTTATTCTTCAATATAATCCAGATTCAATGGAGTGAATCCAGATTCACTGGAGTGAATCCAGATTCACTGGAGTGAATCCAGATTCAATGGAGTGAATCCAGATTCACTGGAGTGAATCCAGATTCACTGGAGTGAATCCAGATTCACTCCAGCGAAAGCTTGGATGGTTAGGATGGTTTTTAATGAATTGTTGAAGAAATAAATGCATGTGCTGTAATTTCGAAGAAATAAACGCATGAGTGAATCTAGATTCACTGCAGTGAATCCAGATTCAGTTATGGGAGGTGTTTATTTTTTACCATAAAAATCGTAACTTTTTGTTGTAAAATGTGAAATTATATCATGGTTTAAAATTTTATAGCTTGTTTTTTACCATAAGTTTCTTATTCTTTTTGTTTTTTATTTTTGCAGATTTGTTATTGTTTGATAACGAGTTTCAGTTCACTAAGTTTCTTATTCTTTTTGTTTTTTATTTTTACAGATTTGCTATTGTTTGATAACGAGTTTCAGTCCACTGAATCTGGATTCAATTAAGTGAATCTGGATTCACTCCAATGAATCGAGCTTCAATATAATCCAGATTCAATGGAGTGAATCCAGATTCACTGGAGTGAATCCAGATTCACTCCAGCGAAAGCTTGGATGGTTAGGATGGTTTTTAATGAATTGTTGCTGTGTTCTTCATGCGAAGATGGAAGATCAAAGCTTGATAGAAGATGGAAGTGAGTTACAGAGAGCAGGAAGTGAGTTAGAGAGAGAAATGGGGAAATGAAGAACTCAATAGAGAAGCATTAATGTTGCCAGCCACCATTAATGTAGTGAATTGTTCCACGTGTTGTATTTTTGGTTTCCAATGTTGTCAGCCACCATTAATGTAGTGAATTGTTCCAATTTTACCCTTTTAACATTAATGATGTGTATTAAATTTGTCTATATTTACAATTCTGTCATCGAAATGTAGGCCATTGGATTAGATAGATTGGAGGGTTATGATTGGTTGCTGCACGGTATTAACTTAAAATTTGGGAAGAGTAAGGTAACATGCACGCCTACCAGAATTCCAATCGCTTCAAGCTTTAACAACTGTCACCTTTTTCAATCAAATCTTCATTGAAGAGTTAAAACACTGAACTTCAAATATTCAATTTAATGACTTGCAAGTACTAAAAGAGAGAGAATAAAATATCCCAAATCCCACGTAATGAAGGACTAAACCCTAATTTGTTTGGGGCCTATCTTCTAAAATCAAATTATATATACCAATAAGTTCCAAACAACATATTACAGAGGACATGTGTGCAATTACTCGCCTTTTCTCAACGGTAGGTATGTTCTTGCATATAGCGCAATGTAAAGATGGGTTTGTGGGTTATAGTTTAGTGTAATATTCTAACCCGCAAAAAATTGCAGCTTACTTTTGTCTACCGCGTTGGTGGGTAAATTCTCAAATATCAAATGCGCACATGATTTTTGAATTTATGAAAACAAATAAATAATCTTCTGTTGTAGCATTTTATTCTGGTCTGGATATCCTCCAATAGTGCATTAACCTTTTCCTTGCGATCGAGTCGGAT